GACCCCAACCACCCCCTCTTGGGATGGATTCCCAGGCGATGACATCACATAGCAACGCCAACATTCCTCTTCCTCATAGCAACCAGCGTTTTCCGAGCACACGATCAAAACCCGAGCACACGACCAAAACCCGAACTAAATATAAAAAGCCGAAGTAAGTTGGAAATGTAAACAACCTCGGCGAGAAACTAATTTGCATATGAACCAGACAGCCGGCGTTCAATATGCAAATAGAATCCCGTCACGCTTTTTTCGAAGTAGATATTTACTGAGCAAGCTTTCTTTGAAGCTCTTCTTTTGCTTCTTGGTAGATCTTTTTGCGAGATTCCTCGGAAAGATCTTTTACGACTGTTTTTTTATTCCTTATGTCCGACTTTAATTTCTCGTACTTTTCCTCTTCGGTCAGAATAAGCGAGAATTCTACGTCGCCTATCTTTCTGTCACGCAGAGCCTTTGAGACAAGATCGGTAATTGTATTTACTTTAGCCCTTGACAGAGCTATTGTCGTGTCATGCTTGGATATTTTGCTTGACAACTGCTTCATAATACCCGTAGCAACAGCTGAAATAATACCACAGGCTGCCCCAACGCCAGCCAAAGGAACTCCAACAATTATTCCCGGTCCAGTAAGCGAAGTAGCAACGCCGGAGCCCGTTAACACAACAGAAATGGATCCTGAAGTTATCGAAATCTTATGTAGCGTAGTCCGGGCTCTGACGTACTTTTTTCGGACTTTTTCATAGTGTTTTGTCTGCCCTTCCAAGTAAGCCAGGATTAAGTTTGCTTTATTCAGACGAAAGTTTTCAGCGTTTAGTTCGTTAGGACCCTCCTTGGGAAGTTCAGGATAAAGTGGAGGTGCTGATGGTATAACATCTATTATATATACTAATGTACGACGCTTTTGGAAATAAGGTAGAGGAGCAGCCACATCACGACAACCGGGATTACTGGAACTGGAGGGCCTTTAGGAAGATGTTTCCGCACGCGGATGCTAGTAAGTTCGAAAGGAGACCCGATGGGATTTACTTCAACGGCTCCAGAATGTACAGCAATGCGGACTTGGAACATTCAAAGCTGGAGCAAGTAGGTAATCAGGTACAGCAATYAACGATTGTGCACTCCCCAGCACCTAAACCCGTTCATAAAGAAAGGCCACCAAAACCCGAGCATAAAGCACCCAATTTTCCTAGAAACTTATTGTTAACCACGGAAGATTACCCATTTTACGACCCTGAAGGTGGTGTAAACAACTTTGAAAAGCTGGTAACGCACCTGAAGATTTCAGTTGGCAAGCAATCGTTTGACATAGTATCAAGAAATATCTTTAAAGAAACGATGTTGAAGCATACGTCGGGTAAAGAGGCCAGGGAATGGTTAGCAGGACCCAACATGCGATATTGGCCACAGCAGTTAAACTTTGCTATTTGGGCCGCCACTAAAGGTTGTGGTGTTGCCGCGGACATGTTTCATATTCCAATTATGCGGTTTCACGTTACCTTTACGGTAAGGAGGTTGTTGTATGAGCTTAACGTACCCCTACCGGGTGATAAGGCGTTTAATCCGATGAATAACCGATATGACGCCGTTGCTTTGGAAACATTGATGAATGAGTTCAAACCGCAGCAAAAAGACTTTCGTTATAGGGAAGGTAAAACGCATGGGTTGGGTATAGTTTACGTATGGGGYGTTAATGGTGAGAAGCCAGCCGACTATGGACATCAGGAATATCCAAGTGATGAGTTGGAGTTTAGCGACATGGGTGGTGATAAGGGTAATAATTCATTGATTACCAGGATTCAAACTAACTACCTAGGTACCTGGGATCCGTTCGTATTAATGAAAGGAAAAGGATTAACGAAAGCCGGTCGAGGTCGCCTGGATCGTAGCATAGAAGCTTGCGTACGCGTTGTCTTGGGGGCGCAGGTAACTACCAGGTCGAGCATAATTGGAGACGCGGGCACCTCGAAAAATACGCAAGCCGAAGCCTTAACTTTATTCGAAACTGCGATTATAGAGGGCGATATCGATAAGAGTTCGCATCGTTTTCAATTAGACATGGATAGCTCCAGGTTGAGGTTGGATTATGCCGTAGCCCCGGGAGTGTTGCTAATGCCCAGTAATTTGGTCATCAACGCCAATTCCGTCGTAGGCTACAATAATAAGCTTAAGACAGCAACTGAGGACATGAAGTTTGGTGTGAACGACGTGAACTTGGATACTACCAGGGGCATTCCCCATTTCGTGGAGAAGTCTAAGAAGGAGCACGTAGAAAAGCCCGCACCAAAGAAGGCGTACGTACCACCTATGAAAAAAACATACCGGGCGCCTAAAAGAGAAGAGGAATATGATCATAACTTATTAAAAGCCGGCTTAGCAGCTGCAAGCATTGGTCTGAGCTATTATATATGGCGATGAACAACCCCTACGTAGCTGGAGTAGATTGTGT